CTTGTGTTGGCCTTGTTTAGAAGTTAATATCTGCATTGGCTTACTAAGGTCAAATGCTCATGACGTTTCACAATTAGGGTCAGCAGAGCTGGTCAGCCTGATAAGCGTTCCATGTGGTTGGGATTGGCCAATGGCTCAAAGAGTGGCTGGACATTGATGGAGTGGTGAGATAAGGAAGAGGTCAAAGTGGCCAAACTGAGGCCCCACTGCGTGATAGGAGATTACTGGACTTCAGACTCTGCTGCCAGGACAGACTGAGGACTCATTTTTGGTTCAGCATCAGATTTTAAAACGGGAAATCTCATGTCCAAAGAGACTCTGACACCTGTCTTGTGTCTCAAGTCCAGACCAGCTATACTTTGTAGCTTCAGACTCTTCAAGATATATGTGTGTGACCCCAGTAAAGACTCAAGACACCCAGCGTGCTTGTGACAGTGTTTTTATTTAAATGTGCTTTTCTCAGTCACTAAGTCCATCGTCCTGACAGCTTTCCAGCTGTCTCCACCTGTCCTCCCTTCCTCCAGCATCACTGAAATAGAAGAGTGTAATTACTGAATTGCTTCCAGCTGCAATGCCAGCCTCCCCCTCAAGCCCGCTGCACCACCCCTCCTCTGCAGTGGACCTGCAGACCACACCTCTGCCACATACCTCCACCGCCCACCTGAGGCTGGAGAGCCATGCAGCCAAGCCCAGGAGGTAATAGCGAAGAGAGTCAACCGCCGAATTGATGGCCAGACACTCCTTCTCCACCGTGGTGTATCTGGTCTCTCTGACAGCTTCCGGCTGATTTACACAACAGGGCGGTCAGCCCCCTTAACTGCTGAGAGAAAACCGCCCCAAGCCCTTTGTTCGAGGCATCCGTCTGCAGGATAAAACGGAGGGAAAAGTTAGGTGTGTGGTGCAGCAGCTCCCCACAGAGATTATACTTCACGTCACCTGGCACTGTTCTGTCCACTGGACCCGATCTGGGGCACCCTTTCAGCTGAGATCACTCAAGGCGCTGGTCAGCTCTGCAAAACCAGGCACGAACCAGCGGTAGTAATCAGCCACACCCACCACTTCCCTTTTTGTATTGGGGTGTGGGAAAGAAATGATGGCTGTTGTTTTCCCAACCTGTGGGTGCACCTGCCTACCTCCCAAGTGGTACCCCAAATATTGTACCTTCCTCTGTCCAACTGCACACTTCTTTGGGTTGGTCGTGAGCCCAGCCTACCTCAGGGACTCCAGGACCACGGCCACCTGCTGCATATGCTCCGCCCAAGTGTTAGTGTCGATGATAATATCATCCAAGTGGGCAGCAGCATTTGCAGGTTGTGGATGCAACAACTGAGGTGCTGGAAAGTGGCCTGGGGCACCTCCCACACTGCAAACAACAGAGGGTCTAACCAGCAATCCCAGTTGAGTTCATCCACATGAATGAACTTCTGAATCATGGACTTTAAAGTCTGATTCATCCGCTCCACCAGCCCGTCAGTCTGAGGATGGTAGACGCTGGTCCAAACAGAGTTAATGCCCAGTAATTTGTACAGCTCTTTTTAGTGTGTGAGACATAAACTATGTGGCCTGGTCAGTCAGTATTTCTTTTTGACCAGAAATACTGCCTACGCCACACTCTTTGCAGAAATGATATGCAGCGGCATTGCTTCGGGATATTGTGTTGCATTATCCACCAGAACTAATACAATCCAAGTGTACTCAATCCAAGTGGCCCAATGAGGTCCATGCCAATGCGCTCAAACGGGACCTTCATTAATGGTAACGGGCGCAAAAGCTTTTTTGGAATCAGCGACTGGTTAACCAGCTGACACTCCATAAAATCGGGAGGTTTTCGTGTCCCACAACCCCTACCATGGGGTTGTAATGAGCCGCCTGGAAAATAATTTCCTGGCGGCTTTCAGGCATCAACAACTGGGTGTGTTCCTCTTCCTAGGGTGTCGTCCCGCTCTAGTGGGGTCTCCTGTGGAGTGAACCACTGGAGCCAGAAGGGGCTTACAAGAAGTCCCTGCCATCTCCTTGTCCCCAGAGACAGCATCAAACAACCCTGCGTCATCGCGGGCAGCGCAGGCACTACACGCCGCTAAAGGTCGTGAGCACATCCCTACGCACTGCTCTAAAGGTTATTAAACCTCGGCCAATCTGTCCCCAGAATTAAGGGACAGATTGTTAGGCGTCGGCTAACTGCAGCCTTTACTTGTTTAACCATTTTGTCCTTAAATTTGATCTGCAGCGGCACTACGGGATATTTGTGAAAGTCCCCTCCTGACTTTCACCCACTCTGCCTCCAACAATGCCCTGAACCAGGGTTTGGTGCATGTAGCCCAAATTTTAAGCACTATTTAACT